ACACCTTATAGATATTGTGTGAACATTCTGGTCAAACAAATTACAAATATAGGTGTGTAACTAAGAGGATGAAAACATGCTTAAAGAAATGGACCACATAGTTATCAATTTTTCAGAGGATTAAGGAATTACACAGATAGACAGCAAAATCCAATCCAGTTACTAAAAATGTCTGTGTACCATTCTATTGTTCTTTTGTGTCTTTCTAGATTTTAAACAGTGTATTACTGCTATTTTCTTCTTACTAGCACAACTTTCAAGTTAACAGCATTCCGTTAAAACATACTTTTTTGGGTGAAATGAAAACATGAAAAGGTCTGGATATAATAAGAGTTGGATTTGAAAACAGTTGGAATTTGCCTGTGTCTGGTTGGTTGTGTGGGTTTTTTAAACGTCCCAGTCATGGCACCACATTCTGAATCATTCCTTCCTTTTTCAGAAAAGCATAAAGAGGTGTTAAAAACTAAAATTGAAGATTTGGCAGTGAGAGATGTAATTGGGACAGCATGCTGCTCAAGAAAACCGTTCCCAAAATGGCTATCTACATAGACCACAGTTACATTATCTTTCTGGTTACACAATATATATACACTAGGATTACATAGCCTTCTCTGATTAAGGATTAATTATAAAGATTTAGTTTTCCTCCAACATCTGTATTGCTTAGAGATTTCTGTTGAAGTAGCAAGGGTTCAAATGGGATAAAACTGTATATTGAACTATGCAGCAATTTAACAAGGATTGCAAAATTAACCACTAGATAAACATGTTTTTGTAAATTTTGTTATACAAAAGTCTGACAAATCACACATTATCAAGTGCAGAGTAGTTTGCCAATATTTTTGCTTAAGTGTTGCATTGAAGTTTTGTTTTTTGCGAACTGCTTGGTGATAGTGTTTCAAAGTCCAGGGGTGTGTCTAGACTACATGGCTCCGTCAATGGAGCCACATAGTCTAGATACACCCCAGGACTTTGAGTGTAGTCTAGATCACACTCCATCACACTCATCAGCTGATGGTCAGCATAGCGCAGTGGCCATTTTGATGTAAATAAAGCGCGATTATTTAAATCGCCGCTTCATTTTGCTATGTCTAGTAAACTCATCTACATGGCTTCGTCAACGGAGCCATGTAGTCTAGACGCACCCCAGGAGAAAGAGGGGCAAATTCTGGGGCTCAGAATGTAAATCCATGGGCTTCAGTGAAACCTGGATCTGACCTGATATGAGAGAGAGACTAAAACTGCTAATTTCACATTTTAGTTTGAGTTAAGAATGTGCAGATACTATTTAATGTAATTAAAGACATAGGAGAACATTATTTGGAACCTTTTACATTTTAAGATCAACAGAGATGACTTTTATCAATGGAATACATTTAAAAGGTAGTATATAGATCTCAGATCGTTAACATTGCATAGATTGAGGCTCCAATTTAAAAATACATCCATTTGTAGATTTTGACTCATAGGTTTCTGTTTCTCCTTCAAAACTGGAATGTAAGATTAACCACAAAAGCAGGTAGGGAGCTGCTGCCTTTATGTTATGATACGCCTCTTCCATAGTAGCAGTGAACTCTGAAACCTTGAAGCTTGGATGCAAAATTTGCAGATAAATGGAAATGAAACCCATTTAAAAGTACATTTTAAAATCAGATTATGCCCCTACTTGTTTATCTAATTTGCTAATAATTGGGGGAATCAGTTTTTCAAGAGGTCCAAAAATCTTCTGCTTTACACTATTTCACTGTCATGTAAGCAATGAATATCTGAAGTAAGCAATGAACAGTTTCTAATGTTAAAGAGATTCCAGTCACACAAGTGACATTCACTGAGTTCTTTGTAAAATCATCTTGTTAAGCATAGTGCAGCTATAACAAAACATGTATGTTCAAAACTGGGAACCAAGTGATCCATGGTTTAGTATTCTCTAGCACAGGTCAAATTAAGGGACTATATGCATTTAATGTGGTAAGCAAGTACAGTACACATGTTGTTCTGATGCACTTACTGGGCAGATGAATGAAATGGGTATGAAATCAACATTCTTTAGGCAGGAGTGTGCATAAAGGGTAGGGTGGAAATGGAGATTGATTTTAAGATTCTTAAATTCATTTGAAGGGACCAAGGTTATTTTCATGGTCCACTTTCTAATATATGATAGACCAAACACATGTACAAGCATCATGAAATGGATTCTTCTTAACTAAAGGCAGGCAATGTTGTGAAATTATTCTTAGGGATGTTAAATTTTGATTAATCTGCCAAACGAGTAGTTGATGGGATTTCCATCGATTACTCTATAAGGGGGGGCACACACTAAACCACTGTGCCTTTCCCTCTGAAATGTACAGGAGCCACCCACTGCTCTTGTACATTCCAAAGGGAGAGGAGCAGCAGTGGGACCAGTGCAAGTGGCACTGTTTCAATCCCTGCTCGCGACATTTCCCCACTGTCCCCTCCTCCCCACAGAGATGGTGCTTGCAGGGTGGGGGACTGGCTTAAAAGCCTGTTCCCACAGTATTTGTTTGTGCTCCCTCCCCTTGCTGCTTCTCTGATAGAGGCAGTAAGGGTGGGGTGGGGGAAGTGACTAGTCGAGTTACGACTTGACTACCTGATAAGGATTTGCTTATTGGGTAAGTCGGCTAGTCGCTTACATCCCTAATTATTCTTTCAAATTTTCCATTTTTGCTGTTATTCAGTATTTAGTCAAATTTATACCTAGGAGTCTGTTTGCAATTTTGCTTCAAGATTTGCTTAAATATATAGAAAAAGGGGTCCAGAGTTTTCACTTGCACTTTCATCAGGAGGTGGTGATTCTCCTGCAGCTTTTAATTTGTGCTGCCTAGACCTAACTTCTGTTGAAGTTCCTGATGGATTTATGTCTTCTGTCATTCATTGATCAAGCCAATTCCATGGCTGTGTGTAGTCCACATGCACTAATAAACCAGTGAACTGGAGCAGTTTTTAACAATGATAGTTTTTATTTACACCTACGAAATACTGCAAAATACTGTGAAAATGGTGGCAAAAATCCAGAAATGTTGTGTTCATGAGGCTGACCCAAACATGAACTTTTTAAAAATGTACACGTTAATGTTTGTTTTTTAGAAACAGTTCATGACAAATATGAGCCATGTCCTTTAAAAACGTACACACAACCTTTTCATACCTTGAGTAGTCCTGTTGATTTGATTGCAACTATTCAGAATATATGGTACATACATATGTAAGCCTTTGTAAGATGTGTGCTATAATGTTGGTCTTTCAGTGAACAATGAGAATCTATCTCATCAACTTGGATTGATTTAAATCAAAATGATTTAAATCAGTGAACAAAAACTTGACTTTAAAAACTTGATTTTACACATGTATTTTAATCTTTTGTGCATTTGAACTTTTCAGTTATTTTCCTAAAGAAAGGTTGTTTCTCATTAGGTTGGTAACACTTAAACCATGTTACTTTGCAACTAAATCTAGCCTTTATAATAAATTTGGATTTTTTTTGCTAATTAGGATTCACTATATCTGTACAAAATTATTTAAGTAGCTATAGTGTTTAATTTATGTTTATTCAGATTCTTAATGTTTGTGCTTAAGAAAAATCATTTTGTTTTTATTGTACTCCTGTTCTTACCACATTTCTGTACAGGCAGTCCCCGGGTTACGTACAAGATAGGGACTGTAGGTTTGTTCTTAAGTTGAATCTGTATGTAAGTCGGAACTGGCGTCCAGATTCAGAACGCTGCTGAAACTGATCAGTTTCAACAGCGGCTGAATCTGGACGCCAGTTCTGACTTACATACAGATTCAACTTAAGAACCCCAGGCATCCCCAAGTCAGCTGCTGCTGAAACTGATCAGTGGCTGATTCCAGGAAGCCCGGGGCAGGGGCTTCCTGTAGTCAGCCAGTTGGTCCGGAGCGGCGCTGCGGGAACAACCCGGCAGCCCCCAGCTGCTCTACCCCAGGGGTAGGCAAGAAAAGCCTGGTCTGCTGGGGGGGGGGGGGG